TCGGGCGACCATATGATGAATTTCAAGCATTCGTGCCTAGTCTCTAGATTTTGCAGCGTAATTTCCCCATGCCTACCACGGGAAAATGTGCCTGCGATTGCGAGTACGTTTAATCTCATTTCCTTCGCTACGCATGAGCGAATGATGCTGACCGATCCCGCACATATCACCTAGAGGCATTGTCCTACCCCGCCCAATGTGATATGGCGAGCCAGGTATGGGTCTAGATAATGGAAGCGTCTTCTGCAATCGTCACATCGCAGCTCGTGTCTCAAGCCCCGATCACCACCACACAATGGCGCTTGACTGACTGGCTATGGCCACAGACTCGCCGGAAAGCACAATCTATCCGAACAATCTGGTATTCATCGAGCGCTCTAGGCGGCGGTGCGCATCTCCTGAAGTTCCCTGTAGCTGTCTCCAAATTCAATTGTTGTACTATCTGCGCAGCCTCAGAGTTGCGTTCGAAGAAGCAATATTCCTCCGAGACCGCCCGGGCGCCGAATACGACGCGACATATCAACGACACGTTCATCCAGATGCTCTCTTCAGCAGGATGTACTTAATCTATCCCCATGACCGACGACCTGGTCTTGAGCTGCACAAGTTTCGACCCTTCCACCTCCAGCGAGTATAGACACGGGCTTTGTTAATCTTGTGCCAAAGGCACGCGAGAGATTATAATTCGTGGTACCTACTACTCCGGGTCGCTCCTCCGCTCACTAATTACTGCTTAGACATGATCATAATCCGCTCACTGTGACTTCCACCGATCGCGCGGACTGACAACGCACTCGGTGTGACGCGGCGATATATTTAAGGCGGCAAATGCGGTACACATACTCGAGCATGTCTGCATCGAGAGGCTGGGATCTGGAGGTGTAGAGTGTCGAAGGCGTACGTTACAGGGCGATACTTGTAATAAGGACGCTCAAGAGCTACAAAGATGCCTAGCACATCGAGTGAAGATACGTGAATCTGATACTAGAGTTGGCGTACAATACGTATTCCGACACGACAATCCCTGTTTCCGAAGCAGGCAGGTGCCCATTTCCGGAGGCCGTTCAGAAGGGACCGCGAAGTCGAGCCACTCCGCGTGTTCGAACAGCTACACCACTCCTCAGAGAAGTGTGTATGATGTGCGCTAGTAGTCGCGGAGCTGGTCCTGGACGGCCTGAATGTCGTACCATTCCGCTGGATGGTTGTCCATCATGTACAGTATGCTCCCGAAAACCCCCAGCACCTTGCGATGCCCGTCCAGATCCGCCGCGAGCTTCTTCGTCTCCTCGTTCGGTGGGCGGGGCCCGGCTCGAGGACTAAGCGGGGGGCGGTCATCCCTGTACCACCACGGCTTCTCTGTATCCTCGTACCGTGCGGGTGTGAATTGTGGCCTCTTTGGAACGATCTCGGAAGGGGTGGCCTTGTCCTCTGAGGTCTTCTGCTTAATAGTCCGCTCGTAGGCCATGATCTTGTATCTTGCTCCGAAGTGCCGGAGAACATGGTGAAGAAGCGTGTCGAGAGGACTCCCCAAATCGTGATAGTTCTTCCTAAACCTGATCGAGAGCGACCGCACGTCTCCGGCATTCATAACGGCGGACTTGTCTAAGCCGCACATACGCTTGCCGGCGCCGCCGTCCCGGGAGACCTCGAAGTATTCCGCGATTAACGGCCCCACTTCCCCATCGCCGAGAGTGTGGGGTAGGAATCTGAGGGCGTAGAAGAGAAGTACGTGGAAGAAGGATTCTAGTTCGTCCGAAACGGCGAGAGGAGGGGTGCATTGCGAGTTGACGTATGCAACCGACATGAACTGCCATGTTCCCTGGAAAACGATCAGCAAAAAAATGCAACGTGAGCAGCTGTGGCGACTCACAACGCGCTCCGGCTGTCTGGCTTTCTCCTCGGACCTCCGAAGGCTGCAGGGCTTTGCGAGTGCCCAGTCGTTCAGTGCGTCGCACAGCTCGCTCGAATAGTCGCACATGTTGAGCAAGTATCAGCAAGAGTTCAAGAGACTGAATGGTTACTGTTCAAGTACGAAAGACAGGGCACAACCCTAGTCATCGAGTTCGGAGGTAAGTGGCCTGTGGCTAAGTCGCCGGTGGCTAGACTGGTGGCGCACTGAAGGAAACAGACGCTCCGGGCGTCGATACTCATTGCCATTAGCGCCGATTAGAATTTTGACTACTACTCCTACCCACTCCAAGTCGCTCGTCCGTCTCTCGTTTTATGGTCATCACAAAATCCCAACATTTCAGGTTGATTGCACACACACTCAGCGTACTGGCATTGACGTAGTGGAAGGAGGCGGACGCGGTACACACTAAGACCTAACGGCTTCGGTGCATGGAGAGGCTGAGATTTGGAGGTGTAGAGCGACGATGACATGCAAAAAGGAACATTTAATGGAAGAGGGTGCGAACGATAACATTAATTATGAGCTGCCGGAGCTACGGTGCAGGCGGAACGGTGAGGAACCGGCGGGATGGAAGCGCTGGGAACGATGAAGGACAAGAGAGAAACGCTATGTGCTATGTATGATGGGGGCGGACGATGCGGTGCTCGACCTCCACCACGATGTCGGCCGTTGCATGAGAAAAGACTATTAGGATGATTTGTCCCCGACGAGTGGTTGCAACGGTCGCGAAGTCGAATCTGACGGCCCTGCGTCGCTTGAATAGTCGCGGCATGCTTCTTCAGAATGATCCTGGGGGTGGCAGCCGACGAGCTAGTCGTGGACGCCCTCCGTATCGTCTCAGGCGGCGTCGAAGGCGGTGAAGTACCTCATAACTGTGCACCACGAAAGATCTCCCGGCCTCCCAAGACGCGAACGCTACTGGCGAGACCCAACTGCACCTCGACCTTTGCTTCACCGCTCTCAACAGACGCCTCGTCCTGCAGCAGCATCCCCAAGCCCATATCATCCCCAGGCTCCCGCTCCCCATCGATGCGGTCCAGCGGCCCGCCCAACGACTGACGAAGTTGCTCGCGAAAACGAGCGTGCCTCCTCCAGTACCCCCTCCAGTACCCCGCTCAGCGCGCCAGGTCTCGAGCGCGCCGGCGCCGCCAGTGGGATTGGAATCCGTGCCGGTGTCCTTGCCGTCGGCGTCGCGTAGGTTCATGATGAAGCGCGAGACGAGGACGGACGTGAGTCTGAGGCGCGGGTGCATTCGGTCAGTGGGGAACGAGATGCGATGGGGCGCGACAGAGCTCTGGACTGGAGATATGGGTGAAGACGTACACGTGTGCGAAATCGCCCAGGAATGATACTTCCTGTATGTGCCGCACGCGCGTTCGAACGTGCGGGGCGTGACACCCGCGAAGGGCGTACGCACCTCGATGAAGTTGATGAGGATATGCAGGACGTTCAGGAGGAGCATTGTGCTGTAAGCGTAATGAGCGACGCGTGTTCGGATGCCGCGTCTAGCACGTATCCGAAGTATATGGTCCCTGCATGAGTACGAGCACCGCTGGGGAGTCAGCGCCGAATTTCGGAAGGGCGACCGTGCGCAACGTACCGTCGCGGAGAAGGAGCGCGACGAGGGACGTGCCGATATGTGCTGCGTCCGCCACTTTCTTGATGCTCCAAGTCTTCCACCACGTCACGGCAAGCACGACGGCGTCGCCTGCTATGAGCGTGCACCGCGATAGGAGCACCACTGCGGCATGCGTCAGTTCAACCTTCACAGAAAGCAGTAGCCTCTGGAACTTAGGAAGACGTGAGTCTGCAGAAAAAAGCGCATACGCTCTCTGCGTTAGTAGAGTGATGACAAGAGAGTGAAAGCCGCGCGGACGTACGCGGTGTGCTGCGCGACAGTCAACGCGTTGTCGACCGAGCAGTTGTACGGCGGCGGCATATTGTCAGGCTTTTGTGTCAGGAGGTTATACTGCGGCGAGATGACGAGGACAGATATGCGCATGCGGCGCGTTAGTCCTCGGTATAAAGAGACACCACATACGACCTCCATGGCGGAAGCACGCACGACGTTGCCGACGATGGGTCCCGTCATGAGCAGGCAGACGAACGCTGCGAACCTCCAGTCGCGCCCGCTGAGCGCGTAGACACGGAGCGTCGAGAACGCTGCATAGTGCGAGAACGAGGGAGACGCTTAGCTTCGCGGCAGGCTGAAACAGAGGGGATGCAACGAACCGTTCCATATGAAGTAGGGTAACGCGCTGAGGATGAGGTCCATCCACCCGATGATGCGGCACCTTTCGTGAGCGCGATGAGCACGGAGCCGCGCCGCACCGCGTACCGTTACTCACGCCTGCAACCGCGCAAGGGGGTACGCTCGTAAGTTTCGTGTTGTGCAGAGCGGGAGATAGAATGACGCACGGGAGTGGACATGGGCGAGAACGAGACGACGGTGAGCGCATTCCGGAGAACAAGGAGGTAGCGGTTGAAGAAGAGGATGCTCGCGCCCGTGATCTTGCGCCGCCAGATGAGCCGAACCTCGCTGTCGAACGTGATCGCGTACTCGTAGAAGATCACCGCTGTAACCATGGAGGTAACCGTATCGTGAGCTCGCCCTTGTTGGTGTCACTTCAGACGGAAGAGCTTGCACTTGCTTCTGCCCAGTTGGCACAGTCCTCTAGGAAGCTGTACCGTGACGTTGTGAGCGAGATGCAATGCCCCAACTGCCGGGAGGTAGGATCTACAAGAACCCGTGGTTGGCGATAATCTGCTCCGCCTGCGTTATAGAAGTTGAGGATGCCATTGTGGCTGGGGTGGCGGCGGTACCGAACCTGTATGCGGAGAGCGCTGCAGCCTACGCCTCGAGGCCTTATTATGAGCGGCGGACTTGATATAGCCTGCATGCTCGATTCTATTACCCCCGTGTATACACCCCGCGGACAACGGATAACTTCGAAGTCATGCCTAAGTCACGGAAGCTACACCGGCGGTGTCGGCTGATCAGCGTTAAGGGCGGCTTGTGTTTACAATACTCGGTGAAGTGGATGGGCGCTGAGCCATATGTCCGTGGTCTTCGGCAGGTTCCCAAGGGGTTTGGCGGGTCTGATGTAGGCGTTAGGACGCAGCGAACGAGCCAACGAGAAATTGTGGGCTGGAGATGATGATCAAGGCGTTCAAACAATGAGACCGCAGGATTTCACTCACAAGCTGTGTCCGTAGTTTTGTGTTAACGGAAGAGCTGCGCCTGGGGCAGAATTGACGGATACTGTAGCCTCCCGGTACCATTTCTGGTTGGTGATCCGAAGGTGGCATTGTCGCCTTTCCGAAGAACTTTGTATCGACGTGAGAGATCGCCTTCGGGGATCACGTCAGAATGCAACTGCACTAGACGCGGGCGGACTGCATCGATCCAGGGCAGAAAACAATCCAACTGGAGGCCAGGATAAGTGTATGCACGCGCACACGGTACGATCCCTTATCAAACCTACCTGATTAACTTCCGCGTCACCGAAAAGAGGCAGGGTATGGTTTAGTGGACGGGTCATTTGGGCTATGCGACTGTTGAGCGGGCGTCGCAATGATGTGAATGAAGTCTTGCGGGATAGATGGTGATCTCAATAGCAAGGACGGCGTGTATTGGATCCCGATGAGCTGACCATGTTAGCTCGCCAGGCGGTTCACTCGTCTTCTCGACAACAGCGGTGGAATAATGAAACTTACCAGGGGCCTTGATGAGCGTGCCTTCCAGTACCAGGACGCGCGTCGGGAAAGAGTCATGCATTCGCTGTTATCGGCGGACATGACATACATCAGATGTTTCGTGCCATGAGAGTTAAGGAGAATCTAGGGGATAATCATGTACGATAATGGCGGTAGAGGCTCTCTAACTTTAAGTATGTCGCTCTCATTCCAACCTACATCATCATGGTGCCTGAGTAACGTCCTGGCCACCGCCTTTCTCTCCGCCGTGCAACATGGCTGAGAGGGGGCGCAGAATATGGACGTAGCACTGGAAATGTACGCACGTATATACTTGTCTCCCGCGGGTCGCTGAACGCAGCTGAAAGTTGTGTGGATTCTCCGCGTCTCATAGTTGTTCAGCAGCTTGACGAGAATGTGCCAGCGCTGAGTGTGATGGTGTCGATGCCAGGTGGTTCGTTATAAGACGCACAGTCCATTCAGCTGATGTTGCGCGAGACGTGCATGAGAGTGTGTTCGACAGTATTAGATGCTACTAGACGGCAAGAAGCAAGAAACGAAACAAAGAAAATACTGGGGTAGCGGGATGCGTTACGTAAGCAATATTATCCGAGGCGCGCGTCGGCATTGCGTTGGCGTTGGCGTACTTAACGCCCTGGATCAAGTCTTTCTCTCTCCACGACCATCGCGCTGCTCAGCGCTCTGAGTCTTGGGCCGTATTTAATCTCGTCTACCTGTATGAATTCCTACTTTGCGGAAGCCTCTGTCTGTCTCGAGAAGGGAATGCTCGTCAAATAAGGATACCGCAGCCCGTCCGTTGCGGGTGAGTCGCATTCGCTTGCCAGTGGGCCCTCAGCGTGCGCTCTCAGCCCGCTGATCATATTCTCAACCTCGTACGTTGCTTCTTCTCATCCCTGATATACACCTTACTCAAAACTATGAACCGCGTTCATTCCAGTCGTGAGCAGCTCTACGCTTGCCGTGATATAGGAATAATAGACTGAGATTCCACGTCGATGACTAGATGTGTCGTGCTCGGCTGGTTCGCGATCGTCTTCAATCTGCTCCCATACCTCATCTGGAACGGTGCGCGTACTTCACCTACGCTGTCCGCGCCTGCAATACTCACGGGAAAGCGCAGCATTCTCGACGCTGCGTGTGTACGCCCTTTGTGGGCGCGACTGGCGCATCGCCGCGCTCGTCTGCCTGCTCATGACTGGGCCCATCATCGCTAATGCCGTGAGTAGCGTACACAGCGCCTTTCCGTCTGGGTACACGCACGCTAACAAGTATGCCCTGATGCAGTACAACATCCCAACGCAGACACCGGTAAACCTGCCGGAGCCGTACAACTGCGAGGTTAACAACGCCATAACGGTCGCGCTGCACACGAAGTACGTCCCCACTTCTTCGCTCGCTCCGCGCGTGCGGTATATGCTCACGGAGACTGCAGACGTACGTTCTGAGGTCCAGGATCTCGTTGATCGTGGGCGACGCGCTCGTACTTGCCGTGACATGGTGGAAGACGTACCGGCTCAAGAAGGCGGCGGACGCTGCGCATATGAAAACGTCTATCTTCGAACTGCTCCTTCGCGATGGTGCGTATCTTCCACTTTGTGCGCCTCGCTGCGTATGCGCGCGTGAAGTTAACCTACGATTGACATTAGGCACGATCTACTTCGGGTGCGTGAGGCCGCGGGCTTCCTGGTTCCAAGGCTGTCTGACCTGACGAGGGGCACCGTTTGTGTAGGACGATGCTCGTCTTGAACGTCCTGCACATTATCATCAACTTTGTTGAGGTGCGCGTTCGCTCTCGCTCCCTCGTCACCCGAAATCCATGCTGATAACGCGCGACGCTTTTACAGCAAGTCTCCTTCATGGGCGACATCGCCGACGTGTGCGTCCCTCCTTACCTCTCAACTCTTACACGTCTGCGCTCACGATGCTTACTGCGCGCACTCGCGCTGCCTTAGCCTCACTTCGATCCTCGTCTCGCGCTTCCTCATGAACCTACGCGCGCTCGACGCCCAACAGACTGGACAGACCTCCACGAACGACGCGCCCGGAACATGGCACGCCGTCACAGGCGCGGGGAACGACTCCGCGGGCGGCGGCTCGATCGTGTTCGCGAGCACCGCGAGCCGTTTCGTGGAGTTGATGGGCGGGCCACTCGAGCATTCGATGCGTGCACTATCCGAGCCGGAGACTTCAAATGAGGATGAGGACCGGGAGAGCGAGCTTGTGCACGAGGGAAAGGAAGTGGGGTCTCTGACGGAAGAGGGAAGAAGTGGTTTCTAGCAGATGGTAGATTCAGTACTTACCCACGGGTCGCAAGAGCGACCACTCGATCAGCTCTGTGATGACAAGCTGTAAAGCGAGCGAGATGAATGATTATGATGGACAGTAAGTACAATACAAGCGAAGCGATGACAAATACGAGCCGGAGGAGCGTTCGGTACGGGCCTAGAAGTGAAAGCGACTAGGGAGGGGGGCGAAAGGAACAGCACAACGATCACGAAGCAAAGTGGGGTAAAAGGGCGATGAAGTGATGAAACGAGTGAGAAAGGAACGAGGCGCGACGTAGGTAGCTGGCGAGCGCACAAACCCAAGGAGAGAAAGACGGCCACCAGTGCGAGCCCGGGTGCGCCTCCTGCGGAAGGCCTATGCGAAAGGAACACGACTAAGCGGTACCAGCGTTGCTCAAGACAGACAAGGATGAGTCCGTATCCGGCAACTGGTTGGAGCTGGACGCGAAGTTGGATCCAGCGTTCCTGGGACGTTTATTGGCTCCGTCATCCGTCCCGATCCGACTCCCGGATGTGCCGGTTTGTTGGGTAGTCGCGCCCTTCTTCATCAGCAGCATCCTGGGTTCGTAGCCGACGAGCTGGTCCTGAACGACCCAGGTGCCACCCCATTCGGATGGCTCTGTCATCGGCGGGCACCGTATGTCCGCGAACAACCCCAACACCCACTGGTGATCATCCAGAAGGGCCGCGAGGTCTCTAATCTCCTGCGTAGGTGGGACGAGCTTGGTGGGTTTGCGCACAGGCGCGGCGGAGATAGGTGGACGCCTCCAGTCCTTCACATCGGACAAGAATCGCGGGAGCGTAGGGTCGTCAACAGGGGCTTCCGCAGCGCTGTCGGGAGGGTTCGCCGTGCTCCGCAAGAGCTGCTTCGCGAGCCGTGACTCGTACCTCAGGATCGTATACCTTGCTTTGAAGGGTTCGAGTATTTCCCCAATAAGCGCGTTGAAAGGATTCCCCTGGCGGCGGTCGGTCTTCAGGAACTCGAGCTCCTCCGTCCCTGACTCGAAAACGCCATGACGCATGGCGGTTATCTTCCACAGGCTACACTCGCGCACGTCGTTGCCAAGGTCCCAAAAGGTGTCGAAGTACTGCTCGACAAATTTGGTCGGACTGGAAAAGGTGTGAGGAAGAAACCGGATGGCAAAGAAGATCATCACGTGGAAAAAGGATTCCAACGCGTCGGCGACGGAGATAGGTTGGGTCCATTGCGAATTCACGTAAGCGACGGACATGAATTGCCAGGTTCCCTAGGGCATAGTCAGCCAAAATCGGACTACATACATGCGCGACGACGTACTGTGCGCTCCGGCTGCCTAGCCTTCTCATCGGACCTTTTCACGAGGTAGGTCTTTGCGAGTTCCCAATCGGTCAAGACGCCGCGCCATTGGACGATCTCCTTGCCTTGTTGGTCCTTCACAAGACGTGGAAGAATAAGAACGTTGCCCGCACTGATGTCGCGATGTAGGAGCTGGTGCTTTTCGTACACGTAATGATGCGCTATATGAAAGTTATGAGTACGTGGTCTTGGACGTGTTATAGCATCAGGACGTACTGGCGACACAATCGGACATCAGACGGATGAGTTGCTCCGTCGTCCTGAACATCTCGAAAGGCAGGCAGACGTCCTTCACCACCATGCGATAATGGATGTGGTGGCGCAAGGTAACCTCGGAAAGATCTGCGTATCCAAGTGAGGAAGGGTCACTGAAGAGGTCTCCTCCTTCAGCCTCTACGGAACGACCGCGCTTCCTTTTGTTAACCTTTTTCTCCGCAGCGACCGTGGAAGAGGCGGCTTCCTCGCGCTCCTTCAAGATCCGGAGACGCTCGGCTTCCCTTTTCTTCCTCTTCGATAGCTCCTGGTATTGGGCGGTGTAGGTGCATTGATTTGCCACGTCACCATGGCAGACGATGGCTGGTACGATGATCTGGTCGTCGCCGGCGAAACGCTCCAAGTAAGTCCCTTCTTGGAGGACGTCCTTGTAGAAAGGCCGCCAGGAGTCTTTCAAGAACACGAATCGACGCGTGCGCGCGTCGATAGCGATGTACCCTCGCGTCGCGCGACCGAACATGGAATACGCTTCGAACAGCGGCTTTGCGACGAGAAACACTCGCACCTCGTCCTCGTCCCCGACTCGGACCTTGATCCGGAGCTTGTAGCGCGGCCATCCGGGTACCAGCGACTCTCGGAACTTCTGCCAAACGTATCTAAACACACGCAGGTCTTCTCCAGGGACGACCTCAATTTCGGGAAGATCACCATGTTAGAACTGGATAACGGTCAGCCGGAGCTGTCCCTCAGATGGCAGTAACCAACTATATTGTATGTACCTGGATAACGGTCAGCCGGAGCTGTCTAGGTACAGAGTTAGATAGCGGAAGCATAATGGGAGATCTGGAGACTCACCCCTCAGATGGCAGTAACCAACTGAGGGCAAGTTCAGGTACGCGGTAGGTTGATATATGAACCACGGCTTATGTAAGGGGTCCGTGCGTAGCCACGCGATGGTTGGCGCTAGGGCGCTTAACACTCCTCCTCAACGAGAAGCGATGGAACGTAGGTACGAGTTGAATACGAAAAGAGAGCGTGGGGGAAATATGGGGAGCGATGTGGTAGGGACGAGGGATAAGCCCCTTAGGAATGGAGGTGATGGAAGCGAAAAGGAATGGAAGAGGGGAGAAGGAGGGAGTGACGGAATGGAAGGAGCGGAACGAGGAACGCGCACATGTGACCGTGTTTCCGAGCGCTAACGGACCACCAGGCTCCAGAACTCCTCCTCGGATGGAGGCCCTCAGTGCAGACCCAGGTAGCCGCGCAGCAAGACGAACTGGGGGGAGGGGAGAGGCTTAGTGAAGATATCGGCAGTGTTGTCCGCGGAGGGCACCCAGTGCATAGTGAGGGTGTCGGAATTGCAATAATCGCGCAGGATGTGATGCTTGACCTCAATGTGTTTGGTCCGAGCGTGGAAGGAGGGATCGGTGCTGAGCGTGATCGCGCCGGTGTTGTCGGCGCAGAGCGGGGAGGCATGGGACTGCGGGAAACCGACTGCGAGCAGGACGGCGCGCAGCCAGGCGGCTTCTTTGGAGGCTTCGGCGGCGGCGACGTACTCGGCTTCTGTCGAAGAATCGGCGACGGTAGGCTGTTTCCGAGCGCTCCAGGAGACCATCCCGGATCCGAGGGAGAAGCAGTAGCCGCCGATAGAGCGCCGCGTGTCCGGGCAGCGAGCCCAGTCAGAGTCCGTGTAGCCCAGCAAGTACGAGGAGCGATCACCGCCCAGGAAGAGACAAAGATCGCGCGTGCCCTTCAGGTAACGCGCGACGCGCTTGGCAGCGTCCCAGTGCTTGCGCCCGTAGCAGTCGAGAAATTGCGCGAGCTGCTGAACTGCGAAGGAGATGTCGGGACGGGTGCCGACAGCGACGTAGTTGAGACTACCAACGAGAGCGCGATAAGGCCAGGTCTGAGCGGCGGCGCGTTCGTCGTCATTCGCGGGGGCGTCGTCGCGGGAGAGCTTGCAGCCAGACTCCATAGGCGTCGTGACAGGGTGAGCTTCAGCGAGGCCGAACTGCGTGATGATCTTGTCGATGAGAGCGGTTTGGGAAATACGAACGGTCCGAGCCGCGCGATCGCGTTCAATGGCAATACCGACACAGAAGCGAGCATCACCGAGGTCAGAGATAGCCCAGGCGTCGCGAAGGTCGGCGATGAACTCGGAGCGAGCCGCGGGAGTGCTGCCGATAGCGAGCATGTCGTCGACGTGAACACCGAAGACAACAGTGCCGGCAGAAGTAGTACGGTGGTAGACGCAGTATTCAGCGGCAGTCCGAGTGAAGCCTTTAGACGTGAGATGAGCGTGCATGGTGCGGTTCCAGGTGCGACCGCCCTGAGGCATGCCATAGAGACCCTTGTGCAGTTCCCAGACGTGATCTTCCTTGCCGGGGGTTTCAAACCCGCGGGGTTGTTCCATGTAACAGATCTCGTCGTCGGGCAGAGCACCATAGAGGAACGCAGTCTTAACGTCGACTTGGAAGAGCTCCCAGTCTAGAGCGCCAGCGAGGTGAAGCAGGACACGGAGGGACTCCATCCGCATAGTAGGCGAAGTGGTCCGAGTGAAATCCTGGCCCCAGACAGCTTCATACCCTTTGCACACCCAGCGCGCTTTGAATCGGATAGGAGCGCCGGTTTCGTCGCGCTTCAAGCGGAAGACGGGCTTACCGTGCATGACACGACGGCCGGCAGGCACGGCGGACTTCGGGATGAGCGTGTAAACGCCGAGGTCGCGAATGGAGGCGAACTCCTCCTCGAGGGCGACACGCCACTCGTTAGCGAAAGGGCTTGCCATGGCGTCCTTGAGGGAGGTCGGGTCGCCGTCGTATTCACTGTCGAGTTGCAGAGAGGCGGCGAGGGCGATGTCGAGCTCGGAGAACTTGGCGATTTCGGACTCTATGCGCGAGGCGGCGCGCGCGGCGCGTTCTTCACGCAGGCGATCAGCGGCGGCCTTACTTTCAGCGACAGCGGCAGCGACACGATCGACGCGCTCGCGGTTGACAGCGTCGGCAACGCGGTCGGAGCGCCGGGCGACGTCGCCGGGGGGAGGGGGAGGAGGGGATGGAGAGGGAGTAGGTAAGGGCACCTCGACGGGTGACGCGGTAGAGGGGAGGGACACAGGAGGGGGTGGCACGGGAAAAGACGCGTCAACAGAAGAGGGGGGAAGGGGATCGTCCTCCCAAAGGGGGGACGTCGGAGGGGGCACCGCGGGGGGAGAAGAGGTAGAGGGGGAAGGCTCGGAGGCATTGGAAGTAATGGGAGGGGGAGGAGTGTCGGATTCGTGAGATTCAATGAAGGCGACGTGGTAAGAGGAGATAACGCGGTGAGTGGAACGATGATAACAACGATATGTTTTGGAATTCGTGCCGTAACCAATGAGCACGCACTCAAGGGAGCGCGCGCGAATCTTAGGATTGTAAGTATTAATAAGAACGAAGGCGCGACAACCGATCTCGCGGAGTTGTGTGAGGGAAGGGGGTTTACCGTACCAAGCCTCGTAAGGAGTCTTGCCGGACGGGAGGGTGGAGCAGGGCGTACGGTTCGTAAGGTAGCAGGCTGTAACGTAAAACTCATCCCAACGGTTCTCAGGGACGTTGCAGGCGAGGCGCATAGCGCGAGCCTTGTTCATGAACGTGCGATGAGCGCGCTCGACTTTACCGTTCTGCGCAGAAGTGTCCGCCGCGGTGAGGTCGATGTGGACGCCGAGCTCCTCGCAGACGGCCTTGATCTCCTTGGTGAGGCACTCCCCGTTGTCCATGATGATGCGTCGGACGGAGCATCCTTCAGCGCGGCGAGCGATGATGAACGCCTTGAGCTTCGGGCCGCAGTCGGCCTTAGATGCGACGGGGAAAGACCATCCATAAGAAGTGCAGTCATCTATGATATCGAGAGGACACGTATTGCCAGTAGCCGATCGAACGTTCTGAGTACCCGCGGCGTCCACGAAGAACGCCTCGCCCTTCTCCTTACTCCGCACACCCTCCCGTGACTTGGGAACAGCCCGCCGGGTCTGTTTGCCAAGGATGCAGGCGTCACATTTGGGAGGGGCAGAGGAGATGTTAACGGGCGTACCGTTTTGGCGAGCGCCACGAGCGACAAGGTAGGTCGCCTTGTAGTTGGCGTGGCCGAGGCGACGGTGCCAAGTCTCGAGGTTGGGGATACGGGTGGCGAGATGAGCGGTGTCGACGACGGGAGCCGCGCCGGACAGGGCGTAGAGGCCATTGCCGTAGCGCGCACCGGAGAAGAAGACAGAGCCGTTGCGGTGTTTGAGTTGTACGCCATCGTCGTTGAAGCTGACATGGTAGCCGTGGGGACCGGCACAGAGGGCACGGACGGAGATAAGACGGACGGCAGCCGCGGGGACGTAGAGGGCATTCTCGAGGACGAGGTGCTTGCCCTTGCCGACGGTGAGCCGAATCTTGCCGATGCCGATAGCGTCGATTACGCTGCCGTTGACACCGCGAATGCCCCGCGGGGAGATGGCGCTAAGCTCGTAGAAGTCATCGCGCACTGGAGAGATGTGCGTAGAGGCCCCAGAGTCGAACAAGAAAGGTTCAGACGCAGCAGGGCGTGAAGCGGCCAGAGCGGAGTCCCAGTCGACAGAAGACGCCAGAGGAGCAGCCGTCGCCAAGAAGCCATCGTACTCTTGATCACCGTTAGCATCGGCGGCAGCGAGCCAGTCTGGGAGGTCGCCGTCGGGAGTGTTGTCCTCGCGAAGGGCGAGGTCGGTCTGGAGTACGGGAGCGGCGTCGACCGGAGCGGCGACGTTGGCGGACTCGGTCGCGGGGGGAGTCTCAGTGAGAACGAGGTTGTCGGAGAGGTAGTATGCGCGACCGTTAGGGTCGTAGACCTTCTTAAAGCTCTTAGACGCGGAACCAGAGGCACCCTTAGAGTCGGCGGAGCGAGAGGCGCCGCCGTGCTTGGCGCGACGGGCGGCGATGCGAGACTCAACCTCCTCGCGGCGATCGGCCATGGCCCCGCCAGGTTGGTAGCAGTCAGACGCGTTATGGCCGACTTTCTTACAGTGGCTGCACAAGGGGCGAGGCTTTCCGCCGCCGCCGCGCGAGGTCTGCGCGGACAGAGCGACGTCGGTGGACGAGGTAGGGGGGCGCGTCTCCGCGTCGAGGAGACGCTGGTGGACCTGGAGGCGATGCACGATGTCGATGGAAGTGTATGGCGCGTCGGTGGTAGCGCGCGAGAGATGATCGGCGACTTGGCCCTGCACATCCTTGAGGGAGGCGTCCCGCATCATGTTGAGGATGATGACCTTTGCGAGGGCGTCGGCGTCGAGCTTACCCATAGCAAGGGTACGCTCGCAGAGCTCGAAAGCGTCGGAAGCCTGCGTGGGGAGGTCCTTGCCGACGTCGAAACGCAGGGCGAGGAGGTCGCGGAGCATCAGCACCTGCACGTGAGCGCCTTGACGTGTGTGACGGGCCTCGAGCAAGGCCCACAGCGCAGACGCGGTCTTCGTGGGCCCGGGGATCAAAGAGAGATCGCAAAGCGGGGAACGAGATCGGAAAGCACACTTAATGTGGGTGCGTGGTTACAAAGCTCGGAGGCCGATCCAGGTGTTTGATTCAGGGGGGATCAAACGGGTTGGGGGCTCATAACCTGTTAGAACTGGATAACGGTCAGCCGGAGCTGTCCCTCAGATGGCAGTAACCAACTATATTGTATGTACCTGGATAACGGTCAGCCGGAGCTGTCTAGGTACAGAGTTAGATAGCGGAAGCATAATGGGAGATCTGGAGACTCACCCCTCAGATGGCAGTAACCAACTGAGGGCAAGTTCAGGTACGCGGTAGGTTGATATATGAACCACGGCTTATGTAAGGGGTCCGTGCGTAGCCACGCGATGGTTGGCGCTAGGGCGCTTAACACACCATCCGAGGCTTCTATAGCATCCGAAATGCTTGTAGGGAGATCTTGAGCGGCCTGATGTGTGGCGGAAGCAGGCTGCTTCCCTCGAGTGCGCTGTTTGGGAGCGCGCGCTGGTGGTGTTTTGCCTTCCTGAGGGGTGTCTGTAGTGGCTGAGCTAGACGGCGTAGAAGAGAATTCAGGAGAAGGCTTGACAAGAGGGGGATGCGCTGGTGGGGGGATATAGTTCTCAGTGCCCGCCTCCATGTATTCCATATCCTGCGCACTGTTGGTCTCAGCCAGCTCGTCCATGATCCTAAACGCCTTCGTTTTCGGCTTGATCAAGGTCGCAGTCGGGTCCAGGCCCTGTAGAGCTGGGTCGAGTTGGACGAGATGACAAATGAGATCCAGGAGGGACCGCGGGTCGTCCGCATAGTCGACCTTCTTCGACACGATCACGCCGGATCTGTCCCACCGCGCAGCTCTGAAGGAATTGCCGATGATGAAGAGGGAGAAGAGGGCGGTCCGATGTTGATAGAGGAAAACGTTCTTAGCGTACGCGATCAGTTGGGCTCGCACACGGGCGCGGGTCTTCGCCTCGTTCGCCGCCTTGCCAGAGCGATCGTCCCAAGGGTCGTTTCCAGCGTCGCTCGTCTTGAACTCGATATAGAAGCGACAGTTAGCCCAGTCCGGGCACTGGTTATCATCGCTCGGCGCAACGTCCTCTTCGTACAGCGCTGCGTCGACCTTGGATCCGGGTTCGTCCGATGGGTGTGCATTGTACCTCGATAGGGCCGCCTTGTACCTGGAGCATTCTGTGGGGAGTTCGAGTGCTGACAACGCAGCGTTGATGACGTTCACCTACGTAGTCTCGAGGTCAATTGCGGACCAAGATGTGAAAATAAGCGAACGTACCACAGTGACGGCGATTTCATCTTCCTTCTCATCGAGAAGCTTCTTGGGGTTGGAATTTCCATAGAACAGCGTGGACAGAGTGCCTCGCGCGTCGCTTACTGTCTGGTCCGGAAGAGTGGCTCGGGGCTGCTTGACAGGTATAGCCGGGAGAACATTACTTTCTATAAACTCCTTGAACTCTACGAGTACCGTAGAACCCATGATAGAGTCCCCTTTAAGACGACAATGATCGAGTATCACGTTGGGGCGAAGTTTGATCCCGTGTTTTCCTGGTGGTGGTTGGCGATATGATGCAGTCTGTACAGGGTGCTCTTTGGTCCAGCGGACAGTCGTAAGCAGTATGTTCTAATGTAGAAGATTCAACAGAATTAGTTTCGCTCTTTGTGAGCAAGTTGAGAAGGGTGAAGGCCTACTGTTCGGTGGCTAACCTAGCCGAACTGCGGTTGGCAGGGTCGACTGAGAGTCTTTCGTAGCCAGGGGCTGTATGGTAGCGGGTCTATGGTAAAGACAGACAATGTAATCCCAAGAATATTCACCTGGCTCGAGGTGGTGGGGTGGAAGGTGGAAGCAAGCCTCGAGCGCGGTTCATGGCGAACCTGGACGCGACTTCCGAATCGGGCCAGAATTCCACACTCCGCCCAAGTACTTGTTAGCGCCTACCTTTAGCGCCTTCCTGCTCCCGTACTTCATCTGGTGCAATTTACCTACCCATCACTGTGCGTGTGCAATGCTCACGCGCAGGCGCAGTGTACTCGATGCTGCGCGTGTCCGCGCTCTGCGGGCGCGACTGGTGCGTCGCTGCGCTCGTCTGCTCATGGCTGTCACTGCCCATTATCGCGAACACCGCGAGTAGCATACACGATGCTTGTCCGTCTCGGTACACGCACGCTGACCTGTATGCCCTGATACTGGTACAATATTCCAGCGCAAAAACTAGTCAATCTACACAACCATACAGGTCCCAACTGCGAAGTCGACAACACGGGCACAGTTGCGCTGCATTCAAAGTACGTCTCCACTTCTTCTCTCGCTCCGCGCGCACCGTATACGCTCACGGAGACCTCAGACGTATGTATTTCTGCTGCGCGCAGGCACAGCCGTACCACTGACCGCGATCGAGGGTGCTCGGGTCTCGAATTCCGCTGATCGCGGGCGACGCGCTTGTGCTCGCCGTGACGCAGCGGAAGACGTACTACCGGCTCAAGAAGGCGGCGGACGCGGCGCACATGAAAACGTCCAAAGCAGAGCTGCTTCTTCGGAATGGTGCGTGCGCTCTACTTGTATGTGCGCGTACGTTGACCTATGATCGATACTAGGCACGATCTACTCCGGGTGCGTGAGGCCGAGGGCAGCTTGCTCCAAGTGATAAATGTGAAGACTAACCGGCGGTACCGTTCTTGTAGGTTGATGCTCGTCTTGAACGTCCTCCAGATCCTCATCGCCTTTGTCGAGGTGCGTGTCTGCTCTCTCCCTTTGCCACCCGAATACCATTCTGACAGCACGCTCCACTTTCAAAGCAAGTTGCTTTCATGGGCGACATCGTCGACATGTACGTCCCCCTTCTTCTCTTACACCTCTGCACCTCACAATGCCTATCACCTGAATCCGCATCCGTGCAGCCGCAGCCGCAGCCTAAACTCGAACCTCGTCTCGCGCTTCCTCATTAACTTGCGTGCGCTCGACGCACAATAGGCCAGACAGGCCTCTGCGAATGACGCGCTAGGGATGTCGCACGCCGGGGAGGGCCTGGTCTCTGTGAGCGGCGGCTCAATCGTGTTCGCGAATATCGCGAGCCGTTTCGTGGAGTCGATGGCTAGGTCACTCAAGCACTCGATGCGCGCGCCGTCGGAGCGGGAGACATTGTATGAGCACAAGGAACAGGAGAGCGAGCTCGCGCGGGATGGAAAGGCGGAGTCTCGGACGGATGCCTCAGTGGTAAAAGTCCGATGATTGATTGATATATAGCGCAATGGAGAGTGGCCGCTGTATCCTGTAACACTAGTAGGAGATATATCATTACTTACGGACGTGTTGTGGGGACGAGTTCTCGACCAACACCGCTGCGACAAGCTGTGAAGCGAACACTAGAATTGATTACAAGACTGCGGGTATGGTACAGACGAGGCAATGGGAAAACGACGACATAGAAACATACAGTTTGAGCACCGACCCCCGGGACCGAGGAAGGGGGCGCAGCAAAGAGAGATAGAATGAAGAGTGTGACAACAGGGAGGCGGACTGGAACGGAGGTGTACGGGGCATGGGGCATGGGGGAAATGGCGGCGGACGGACAATGTTCTGAGGAGCGGGGCAAGGAAGGGCCGGAGGGCGACGAAGACGGGGGTCGTGCAAAACTAGTGAGGGGAAGGCGAGCTTTGAAGATGGACGCTGCAATGTCCGAGCTGCGGCGCGGCGCGAATGCGGAAGTAACTCCTGTGGAAGATCTTGCGGACTGAGACTGGAGCGCGCGATCAAGCTGGTGTTTGGCCACTGTTGCTGAGGACAGACCAGGATGAAGTCGTCTCCGGCAACTGGTTGGAGCTGAACGCCAAGTTGGATCCAGCGTTCCTAGGACGTTTGTTGGACCCATTTTCGCTCCCTCGCGTTCCGGTGGTTCGCGCAGGTACAACGTTATTCGCCAAGATGATTCTGGGCTCATAGTTGACGAGCTGGTCCTGGACGACCCAGACGGTTGCCCATTCGGCCGGGTCGGTGTTCGTTGGGAACCGTATATCATCGAAGAGCTCCAAGACCTTGTGGTGTGTGTTCAGAAGCTCTGCCCGATCCTTGGTCGCTTGAGTCGGCCGTTTTCCCGCAACTTCATAAGATGATGACCCGGGAGGAGTGACCCGGCCAATGCGCCACGCAGGCGTCCCGTCACGCAGCTTGATGCGCGGGCGCGCGGCGATCATCTCACTGAGATCGATACCAGAGGAAGGCTTCTGCTGGATGGTCGGCTGATCCTTGAGGATTGCATACCGCGCCTGGAAGTGCTCGAGCAGCTTATCGATAAGCCTGTTGAGAGGACTTCCCGGTTCACGACTGTTTTGAACAAACTGGAACGGCGGCAGGTCGAGCGCCCCATGAGTCATGACGCTGTACTTTGTCGCACCGCAGCTGTACTTGCTATCGGCCTCGCTCCGGAAGGTGTCGAAGTAGTCGATGACAAACTGCGTTGTGTCGAGAAGAGTTTGGGGAAGGAAGCGAATAGCCCAGAACAACATCACGTGGAAGAAGGATTCCAGCTCGTCCGCAATGGTGATAGGTTTTGTCCACTGTGACTCGACATATGCAACGGACATGAACTGCCAAGTCCCCTGCAGTGGTGTGAGCTACAAGTTGACAGTATGCCTAGACAATGACGTACTGTGCGCTCTGGCTGCCTAGCCTTCTCCGTGGTATTCTCCGCGGTGCACGGCTTTGCCAGCTCCCAATCGGTCAACACTCCGCGCCATTCCACAACTTCTGTGCCGTCCTTCTCCATTACGAGACGAGGAAGGATGAGCACGTTGCCCGCGCTGATGTCGCGATGCAAGAGCTTATGCTTCTGGTACACATAATAATGGGCTATCGGACAAGGTGATCAGTACGCGTTCGTGAGAGGAATACATGATGGAAGACACACTTTCGATACAGTTGGTCATCAGATAGATGAGTTGCTCTGTATTCCTAAACATACTGAAAGGGAGGCAGACGTCCTTTACCGCCATGCGATAATGGATGTGATGACGCAGTGTGCCCTTCACATCCTCGACATCTACGTCTTCGGCCACGCAACTCTGGCTGAAAACGTCCTCGGAGTCGTTCTCGACGGGGAGGGCGCGCTTCTTGCTATTAACATCCGGCTCCGCATCGAGGGTGGAGGAGGCATTGGCGCTAAGCTCCTCGCGGCGACGAGTAGCTTCCATCTGTTTCCTCACGCCCTCTTCGTACTGTGCAGTAAAGGCGCGCTGTTGCTCCACGTCGCCGTGGCAGACGAGGGTCGGCACAACGATGTCGTCGTCGTCGGCAAATTTCTCCAAGTAGAAGCCCTCCTGCTGAACACCTTCGTAGAACGGTCGCCAGGAGTCTTTCAAGAAAACGAAGCGGCGCGTGCTCGCGTCGATGGCGACGTACCCCCGCGTAGCGCGACCAAATAACGCAGGTGACTCGAAAATCGGCCATCCAACGAGGAACACTCGGTCTTTGTTGCCGACCTTGATTGTGAGCTTGTAGCGAGGCAGGTCGTTCGCGATCGAGTCTCGGAACTTCTCTCGAACATATCTGAAGATACGCAAATCTTTTCCTGGTATCTCGATGATGTCGGGCAGATCGTCATCGGGGTCTTCCTCGGCTTCCGGGACCTCTTTGGAGGGGTCTTCAGCGGCCTGAACCTTGGTGCGAGCAGGCCGCTTCGATTGAGCGCGTGTCTTCGTCTGCATCGCCGCCGGGATAGATTGCTGAGGGGGTGTGCTAACAGCGGCCGTCCCAGACGATACAGGAGCCTGGTCAGGAGACGGCGCCGTAGGAGGGGGGTGGGCTGGAGGGGGGATGTAGTGCTCGGTCCCTGGCACCATGTATTCCATGTCCTGCGCGCTCTTGGGCTGGGCTAGCTCGTTCATGATCCTGAACGCCTTTGTTCCCGGTTTGATCAAGGTCGCAGTGGGGTCTAAGCCCTGTAGAGTCGGATGGAGTTGCACGAGGTGACAGACGAGGTCTAAGAGAGCTCGAGGGTCCTTCAGGTAGCTGACCTTCTTAGATACGATCACGCCGGACCTGTCCCATCGAGCTACCCTGAATGAGCTGCCGATGATGAGGAGGGAGAACAGGGCCGTCCGATGTTGGTGGAGGAAGACATTTTTAGCGTACGCGATCAGCTGGGCTCGCACTACTGCACGGGTCTTCCTCTCGTTCTCCGGATCCTTGCTGGAGCGATCGTCCCACGGATCATACTTGATATCCCCTCTCTTGAACTCGATGTAGAAGCGACAGTGGGTCCAGTCCGGCCAGTCTTCAACGGGCGCATCGTCCCTTTCGTAAATCGCCGCGTCGACCTTTCCTTTCATCGTGTCCGAAGGATTCACCTTATACCTGGAGAGCTTGGCACGGTACCTCCTTGGCACTTCTTTAGGGAGTTCTAGCGCAGCCATGGCGTCGTTGATGACCTTCACCTACGGTGTCTCGACGTCAACAGCAGAGGAAGGTGTGAGAAGAAGCGAACGTACCACAACATCCGCAATGTTGTCCTCTTTCACGTTGACAAGCTTGTTGGATTTGTCATAGAACAGCGTAGACAAAGTGTCCTGCGCGTCGTTCACAGTCTTCTCCGGAAGAGTGGCTCGTGGCTGCTTGACAGGTATGGCCGGGAGAACGTCACGGATGAAGTCCTGCAATTCGACTAGCACTGTAGTGCCCATGCTGGAGTCTCCTTCAAGACGACGATCGAGATCAGCGTTGGGAGGAAGTATAATCCCGTGTTTGGATGGGTGATAGTTGGCGATATTTCGGGGTCTGTGTGGACTGTTCTTCTGGCCCGGAGGGGCGTCGTAGACGACGGGGTCTGGAGAAAGAGACGCAACATTAGGAGAATCGCTCATACTGTCGAGTCTGAGAGAAGTGAAGACATACTGTTCCAAGATGGCGCAAGTTATATAGCCGTGAGCGGGACGATGGCTAAACTAGCCCAGCTGCGGTTGGCTAGCTCGATCAAGAAGATGTGACAGCCAGGGAGTCTGAGCGCACGTCGCCGACAAAGGCAGACAATGGAAGAAGTCCAAAAAGCAGCTGGGCTCGAGGTGGTGGAGTGGATGCAAGCCTCGATGGCGAGCGCCGTTCAAGGCGAACTTGAATGCGACTTCCTAATCGGGCCAGAATTCGACACTCCGACGAGCGCCTACAACCACGTTGACTTCCCGCCGCCATGGTGGCTTGGTGCATAACAAAAGTGTTCAACCCACTCTCCCTCGCCTCATCGGCTCAATTGCGCCATTAAGGTAGACAATAATTGTGTACGCGATTTAATCTCATGAGATACACAGATCACCGAGCAGATGTCCATGTCACGCTTGACTTCGACGGCTCGGAGCTGTCTCCCTCGGGCGACCATATGATGAATTTCAAGCATTCGTGCCTAGTCTCTAGATTTTGCAGCGTAATTTCCCCATGCCTACCACGGGAAAATGTGCCTGCGATTGCGAGTACGTTTAATCTCATTTCCTTCGCTACGCATGAGCGAATGATGCTGACCGATCCCGCACATATCACCTAGAGGCATTGTCCTACCCCGCCCAATGTGATATGGCGAGCCAGGTATGGGTCTAGATAATGGAAGCGTCTTCTGCAATCGTCACATCGCAGCTCGTGTCTCAAGCCCCGATCACCACCACACAATGGCGCTTGACTGACTGGCTATGGCCACAGACTCGCCGGAAAGCACAATCTATCCGAACAATCTGG